ATGGCATCAGACATCATGCTTCCACCGAAGATTGTTAAAAAGAACTGGAGTAGCTTACAGGAGTACCGCCTTTATCGAAACAATCACACGCAAGTTCTAATATAAGAATAATCACTCAAAGGCACTGATACCAGGTCGGAGTAAAGCAGTAATACCAGGTCAGAGTTATTTCTCTAAAGCTCTTTTATCAACCAAACAGTGACGTGCGGAGAGACTTACTGCATGAAGGCGGGAGACAAGAAAATATTCCGCGTGCGAGCCAACATGGACGTCTGCGCCATTTTCGTGCACGTGAGTCGGTATATCTATCTATATCTATCTATCTATCTATCTATCTACAAAGTCTATATAACCACTAGTAAGTATCTTGGGAGTCGAGTGGTTATGGTAAAAATGTTTTTGTGGTGATGAAATGCCGAAGAGAACAGTCATAAGAAAAGATAGCATAGTAGTGTCATTTAATTATCACGGGATGGGATGGAATAGTAATGAGGTGAAATGGAATAGCGTTAAGCTCGGAGTAAAATAATTTGTCGTGATGTTTTTAATTTTATTTATTTTCATGCGCCTTCGATTCCTCTTTCGTTTATTTTTATGGAGTTGGGATTTGATCTTGTAACGATGTAGTACAGTCAGACATAATTGTATGAACGCTGCTGTTAAATATTGTTAAAAAAAGGTTTAAGGAAAATCTGTCACTCGATGGTTAGATATTTAAAATAAAAATCGTAAGGAAACATGAAACATTAACCCATTCGCGCCGAGTAAAAATGAACAAAAAATGGGGGAAAATGCCGTGCTCATTTTTTATACTTTTTGTGAAATTTCTCTACACTAGATGGCTCTGCCTTACCTGATTTCATTTGGCGGGAAAATGTATTTTTACTAGTATAATGAATATCGATGGTTATTTTTATTATAAACATTATAATTACTACAGGCAGTACAGACAGGCAGTACAAGTACAATTGCAGCCATCTATGTGTGAAAACAATTAAACAAGTAAACTCACAATGGGCCCGGCGTGAATGGGTTAAGCATTCTTTGTCATATTTTTTCAATCGAATGTTAATGGCTCTGCTATACTCCTTACATTTTACATTTGCTAAAGGATAAACATATTCTAAAATTGTTTATAATGATAATAAAAATACATGAATAAAATAGATATAAACTTCCTTTTCCCCTTCTCATAACATTTACAAGTCATAGAAAAGGTACGAATGAGAATGAAATATCTTCGCAATACAAGAGATGTATTTGACCGATGTCAGAAATACTTCGTCAGAAATACATGACGTTTATATATGCATTAATGTGTGTGTCCGTGCCATGCAGTCTGTTCTTCCCTTACGCCTCGTCTTCCTCACCCGCAGGGGGATGGGAGCACAGAACTCGAGATGAACTGCAAGACATTCGACCTGTCTGCCTGCACGAAAGAATACTTTTTCGTTCAAGACCAAACTTCTGAGAAACGGTGAGTATTATTCTCTTGTCAGTAATGGAAGTTACTTTTGGTTTGTTCAGGTTTGATAGAACACAGTTTGGGACATTCTGTAACAAAAACAATACGGCCTCTTAAACTTATTTTTTAAGTATAAGAAACACTTATGGTAAACGTTTCACAACAAGCATCAATAATATGAATATCATAGCAGATGACATTACTCAAAGAGCAGAAAAATAACCTTATATGAAAGACAGATTGTAAGTCGTTGAAAGAAAGTACAACGTTTAGTACGACAGGAGATATTGTCGTACTAAACGCTGTATTTTCTTAACGTCACGTATTAGCATATCAGTCACTACTGTTTGCGTTTACTCCGCGTAACTGATCTGCACTTGTATAGTTCATACGGTGTTATGTAGGACGTATATATGATATTCAATTACATGTTGGTGTGGCAATGTTATTTGTGATTTACCTTCGAGACTGTGATGGTATTAGTTAGATGATCCCATTGCGTAAAAATAATCCGAACGCTAGATGTTTCACGTAACCTAGCTATTGCGTCACATTCACTTGCCTTTGCTGAGCTCTTTCCCTTCCTCTCCCCCCCCCCTCCCTCCCCGACCTCACTTTCCTCCCGTTTCCTTCCCGACCTGCTTCTCCTCCCTCCACTCCCTTCTTACCCCACCCTCCCCTTCCTTCCCTCCTCCCCACTTTCCTCCTCCTTCCTTCCCCCCTCCCCACTTTCCTCCTCCTTCCTTCACCCCTCCCCACTTTCCTCCTCCTCCTTCCCCCTTCCTTCCCCTCCTCCCCCTTCCCCTCCTCCCCCTTCCCCTCCTCCTTCCTTCCCCCCTCCTCCTTCCCCCTTCCCCTCCTCCTTCCTTCCCCCCTCCCCTCCTCCTTCCTTCCCCCCTCCTCCTTCCCCCTTCCCCTCCTCCTTCCCCCTTCCCCTCCTCCTTCCCCCTTCCCCTCCTCCTTCCTTCCCCCTTCCCCTCCTCCTTCCTTCCCCCTTCCCCTCCTCCTTCCTTCCCTCTCCTCCTTCCCCCTTCCCCTCCTCCTTCCCCCTTCCCCTCCTCCTTCCTTCCCCCTTCCCCTCCTCCTTCCTTCCCCCTTCCCCTCCTCCTTCCTTCCCCCTTCCCCTCCTCCTTCCTTCCCCCTTCCCCTCCTCCTTCCTTCCCTCTCCTCCTTTCCCCTTCCCCTCCTCCTTTCCCCTTCCCCTCCTCCTTTCCCCTTCCCCTCCTCCTTTCCCCTTCCCCTCCTCCTCCCCCACCCCCTCCTTTCCTCCTCCTTCCTTCCCCTCCTTTCCTCCTCCTTCCTTCCCCTCCCCTCCCAGGTTCTGTGGAAAGAAAGGTCCCGAGAAGATGACAGGAGTGCAAGCCTTGTACCTGTTGTACGAGAGAGCCCAGCGGAGTCGGAGGAGGAGGCCGAGGGTGTGGTGTTCCATCGAAGGGGTGGAGCGTGAGTAAAAGAACTTGGGGTTTTTGTTTTGTGTTTTTTCTTCGAGTAAGTGAGGAGGGAAAAAAAAGTGAAAGTGGGAGAGAGAAAGAGACGAAGGGAGGGAGAGAAAAAAAGAGACGGAGGGATAGAGGGAGAGAGAAAGAGAGAGGGAGGGAGAGAGGAAGGGAAGAAGAAAAAAGAAATTAGAGAGAGATTAGGCAGAGAGAGGACGAGGGCCACAGGGGCAAAAGGAGAACAAGAGAAATGGAAAGTAAAAGAAGGAACTAACCAGAAAAAAAGTTAAATCACACCACCACAGCACATTTTAGCTTCTCGCGATGAAAGCTTTGACCACCTCTTCCACCCTAACACTCGCTTATTCCCAACAGCTGATGGTGCGGGCAGCGGCGTTGAGGGTGAAGATGAGACCAGCTCTGCCGTCCAAGCAATAGGGTGTGACAATGGTGAGGAAAGTGGGATACAAAAGACATGCCAACTTGATCCCATATCCAAGGAGACGTAGGTGGCATGTCCGTAGAGCAGTGGTTCCCAAACTTTTTCTGGTCGTTACCCACTTTTCATACATGATCCTTGTCCATGGCCCCCACCCCCAACCATAACCCGTGACTACAGTGACTGTCTACAGTCCTACACTCATTAGGTCCATATAAAAACCACTCTAGCAAATCCTGTAATTTAATTGATTCCATTTGTTATTTTTTCTTTTGTTAAGTATTAAAAAAGAAATTTGTATTTTTCCTTTGCTAAATCTCATATAATTATTGAAATGGTACTGAAGAAGTAATATAATGCACATAAAACAATCTCCATACTTAGAGTAATTAAAAACTGCATTATTGCGAAAAGCTGCTTCAGCAATAAAAAAAGAAAAAAAGAAAAAAGAAATTCCACTGGATTAAAAAAGTGTATTAATTACACGCAATGTGATCTTAAGTGAAATGCTATCATAGGGAGTCACAACCATGGCCTTCAGTGGCCACACACCCACCTCCTCCCAGACCATTTGCTTCTGAACGTTCATGCCAGGTTCATGTGTCCTTCACCTGAATTCCCATTCCACTCAGTGTGAAGGGTGATGCTGCAGATTATCAACAAGCTTCTTGATTCTTGTTTTGTTTCACTTAAAGCACACCGTAGGTCATGCTTCACTTCAAGTCTGCTGCGATATTTCGTTTTAATGTGGAGCATTTGAGAGAATGCAGCCTCACAGGAATAAGTTGATGAAAATGGTAGGAGGTGGCGAAAAGCCAAGTCACATAAGTTTGGGTATGAAGCTGCCATTGATGACCAAAATACTGTGAAAGATTCAGTTTCAAACTTCATCTTGGCTCCTAAATCCTCCTGAAGTGTCAACAGCTCAGTTTGGCCATCATCATTGTCATCAGGTATGCATGTCACTGGAGCAGTGAAGGGGAACCTTACTAGCTGAGAAGTTAGGCTTTGGATATCTGGGAAGTACCTTTTAAATTCCCCTTCCAAGGCCTCAAGATGATCAATGTTGCAACTGTGAATGTGTGGTTAACTCTGAATAATTTGAACATCCTTGCTGATACTCAAGATTCAAGACCAGGTTATCATACAGAATCCATAGCTGAGGAAGCCTTAGAATTATGCTGAGTTAAAATTATCTACTACCCTAATTCATCTCCATGTCTTGTTTTATGTCAAGAACAAAGAATCAGATTAAAAAAAAGGTAATTACACAGACCCCCCCCCCAAAAAAAAAAAAAAAAAGGACGTATTACTCATGTGTCTGGCAGCAAGGCATTGCACAAACCTGTACTGAACCTGTAAGTTCCCTCCACTGGCTGCTTACCCGCTAAACTCCTTTGATTTTATCTCTACATAGCCTCAGATTATGGCCCCCTACATTCTGCTATATGGCCCCCAGTTTGGGAACCACTGCCGTAGAGGAACTAAAACTAAAACTGCGGGTTGGTGCGGTAAAGTAGATCGTAGTTCTCTCTCACCCCGAGTTTGAACTAGATAATGCTAGTTATTCACAGATGAGTTAACTAGGAGGAGATTGCCTGGCGCGAACGCAGCTAGTAGTCACTGAGCTTTGCCATTATGATAAATACCATAGTCTTTGCCGATGGGTTTATCATAAATAAACCCATTATCATAAATAAACCCATTAATTACTCATTAATTACTCTTCTCTGTGCAATAACCTGTCCTTGCCTCCATAGGGTTATTGCAGTTATTATCATTTTTTTTTATTATTATTGGCGTTACTACTATTTTTTTACTTCTTGGTATTGTCACTATTAATAGATTTTTAAGTTGTTGTAGTAACGATGATATTGATAATAACAAACAGTAGTAGTAATTGTAATGATGATAATGATAACAATCTTTAGAACACTATCAGTGATGTTGAATATTGTCTTAATGGTGATGATAATGTTAGTTGTGATCGTTTATGATAATTGACATAATGAAAATGATTTGAACGGTAAGAATGGTGATGTTGGCAATTATGTGATATTCAAAATGACATTAATGTCGTGATTCAATAATAGTGTTTACATCAATAATAACATTGAAGAAAGAATAGTAATAGTAACACTGATAATAATGCATTAATGAAAGAATAGTAATAGCAACACTGATAATAATGCATTAATGAAAGAATAGTAATAGCAACACTGATAATAATGCATTAATGAAAGAATAGTAATAGCAACACTGATAATAATAACATTAACGAAAGAATAGTATCAGTAACACTGATAATAATGCATTAAGAAGCAATAAGTGAAATAAAGAGCTTCACAATCATCGTTCTCATCCGTTCTCACCCGTTCTCATCCGTTCTCACCCGTTCTCATCCGTTCTCATCCGTTCTCACCCGTTCTCATCCGTTCTCACCCGTTCTCATCCGTTCTCACCCGTTCTCATCCGTTCTCACCCGTTCTCATCCGTTCTCACCCGTTCTCATCCGTTCTCACCCGTTCTCATCCGTTCTCACCCGTTCTCATCCGTTCTCACCCGTTCTCACCCGTTCTCACCCGTTCTCATCCGTTCTCATCCGTTCTCACCCGTTCTCATCCGTTCTCACCCGTTCTCACCCGTTCTCACCCGTTCTCATCCGTTCTCACCCGTTCTCATCCGTTCTCACCCGTTCTCATCCGTTCTCACCCGTTCTCATCCGTTCTCACCCGTTCTCACCCGTTCTCATCCGTTCTCACCCGTTCTCATCCGTTCTCACCCGTTCTCATCCGTTCTCACCCGTTCTCACCCGTTCTCATCCGTTCTCATCCGTTCTCACCCGTTCTCATCCGTTCTCACCCGTTCTCATCCGTTCTCACCCGTTCTCATCCGTTCTCATCCGTTCTCACCCGTTCACATCCGTTCTCACCCGTTCTCATCTGTTCTCACCCGTTCTCATCTGTTCTCACCCGTTCTCATCTGTTCTCACCTGTTCTCACCCGTTCTCATCTGTTCTCACCCGTTCTCATCTGTTCTCACCCGTTCTCATCTGTTCTCACCCGTTCTCATCTGTTCTCACCCGTTCTCATCTGTTCTCACCCGTTCTCATCCGTTCTCACCCGTTCTCATCTGTTCTCACCCGTTCTCATCTGTTCTCACCCGTTCTCATCTGTTCTCACCCGTTCTCATCTGTTCTCACCCGTTCTCATCTGTTCTCACCCGTTCTCATCCGTTCTCACCCGTTCTCATCCGTTCTCATCTGTTCTCATCTGTTCTCACCCGTTCTCATCTGTTCTCACCCGTTCTCATCTGTTCTCACCCGTTCTCATCTGTTCTCACCCGTTCTCATCTGTTCTCACCCGTTCTCACCCGTTCTCATCTGTTCTCACCCGTTCTCATCTGTTCTCACCCGTTCTCATCTGTTCTCACCCGTTCTCATCTGTTCTCACCCGTTCTCATCTGTTCTCACCCGTTCTCATCTGTTCTCACCCGTTCTCATCTGTTCTCACCCGTTCTCATCTGTTCTCACCCGTTCTCATCTGTTCTCACCCGTTCTCATCTGTTCTCACCCGTTCTCATCTGTTCTCACCCGTTCTCATCTGTTCTCACCCGTTCTCATCTGTTCTCACCCGTTCTCATCTGTTCTCACCCGTTCTCACCTGTTCTCACCCGTTCTCATCTGTTCTCACCCGTTCTCATCTGTTCTCACCCGTTCTCATCTGTTCTCACCCGTTCTCATCTGTTCTCACCTGTTCTCATCTGTTCTCACCTGTTCTCATCTGTTCTCACCTGTTCTCATCTGTTCTCACCCGTTCTCATCTGTTCTCACCCGTTCTCGTCCGTTCTCATCCGTTCTTACCCGTTCTCATCCGTTCTTACCCGTTCTCACCCGTTCTTACCCGTTCTCACCCGTTCTTACCCGTTCTCACCCGTTCTTACCCGTTCTTACCCGTTCTTACCCGTTCTTACCCGTTCTCACCCGTTCTTACCCGTTCTCACCCGTTCTCACCCGTTCTCCAGTGTGCGGCCAGGCTCCAGCGGGCGCAGGAGCAACCAGGATCGTGGGCGGGGAGGAGGCGGGCGCGGGAGAGTATCCATGGATGGTGAGGTTGGATATCTCCCTCGGCAGTGTCAGCAGGTCGTGTGGAGGTGCCATCCTGACGACCACGCACGTCGTCACAGCGAGTCATTGCGTGGACGATGAAAAGTAATGATGGTGGTGGTGTTGATGAGAGTGATTAGGATGATGGTGGTGAGGATGATGAGGTGATGATGATGAGGTGATGGTGAGAATGATGTGGATGATGAAGATGAGGATGAGGAGGTGATGGTGAGGTTGAGGTGGTGATGGTGAGGATGAGGTGGTGATGGTGAGGATGAGGTGGTGATGGTGAGGTTGAGGAGGCGATGGTGAGGTTGAGGAGGCGATGGTAAGGTTGAGGAGGCGATGGTGAGGTTGAGGAGGCGATGGTGAGGTTGAGGAGGCGATGGTGAGGTTGAGGAGGCGATGGTGAGGTTGAGGAGGCGATGGTGAGGTTGAGGAGGCGATGGTGAGGTTGAGGAGGCGATGGTGAGGTTGAGGAGGCGATGGTGAGGTTGAGGAGGCGATGGTGAGGTTGAGGAGGCGATGGTGAGGTTGAGGAGGCGATGGTGAGGTTGAGGAGGCGATGGTGAGGTTGAGGAGGCGATGGTGAGGTTGAGGAGGCGATGGTGAGGTTGAGGAGGCGATGGTGAGGTTGAGGAGGCGATGGTGAGGTTGATTGAGAGCGATGGTGAGGATTAGGGTGATGGTCTTGATGGTAATTATAATGATATCGCCGACTTATGACGAGTTGATATCCTTCGTATACACTGTAATGAAGATGCACGTTCCGTTTCATTATCTTGGGCCGCTTTCGATGACTTAACCACATTAGCTGCCTCGTGTGTTGGCGTTTTTTTTTTTTTTTAATATCAGCAACGTAACCAGTAGTACGATTTCCGATAGTGCTCTAAATCAACTCCCCCCCCCCCCACTCGACTTGAGGCATCGGTTCAGACTCAAATGATGCCTGAACTTCCCGTGACTGTCCATCACTGGTCATTGTTGTCTGAGGCTTTGCGAGGACCCTCTTTTTCCTCATTGATGTCATTTTCTTGACTGTCGAGGACTTGAGGGAGTCTGTGGCGGCGAAAGCTGCTTGTAAATTTAATAAGCATTTGTCAGGCAATAGGTTAAAAGTGGCTTTGATCATCCACAAAGAGTGAGGCAGGCAGGCTTCTATCTCCGAGCGTTCATGTATCAGTTCTTGTCTTAGGCTACCGTATAAATTATAGACAAAGGGAGACAGACAGACATGAATTGACATCTTTCTCATCCAGCGGAGACTAATGCACCTCCTAAACCCAAACAGCTTGGAGGTCACGGTGAGAGCGGGCATGCATGACCTGGCCTCGTATCAGGAGAACACAACCCAGATTATCAAGGCCAGGCAAGTTCTCCTGCACCCGGAGTTCAGCCCCGTGACTTCCGTAAGTCTTAATTGATGTCATTTGAAGTCCTTGTACAAATAAGTCTTATTTTTTCTACTACAGGCGAGTGACAAGTTGTTAGGGCGAATTCTATCCAGTTAGTACAATCTGCGTGGCCTTGTAATGCATAGAATGTATTAGTTTTAAGTCTCCTTAGCAGTGTTGCTGTTATGGTTCATGATATTAAATGAAACACTTCATATGGTAAGGAATATCTCTGATTAGTGTTTGGTCTTCAACAAAATCAAATTCCGAATTCTTATTTTCTCGCTGTTATGTAAAAAGTGGGGTATCGTGTATTTAAAACGAGCAAGATTTAGTGCGTCTCTGAGAAATAAATGCCCGGAGGAAGCTTGGAAAATTTGTGTGTATGATGATAACTAGGGTTTTGTTTTTCAGACGTAAAGGAAAACATGAAGTAATGAGGTATACCTTAAGGAATGTATATTAATCTATGTAAACTCTTCTAGTATTTTATGAAAAGAAAAAAATCTTACATATCAGTATCCCGTAATATAAAGGCTATTCCATATCGCACTATATTAAAACAACAAGAAGGACAACAACAACAAAGACGGCAACAAGGACAGCAACAAGGACGGCAACAAGGACGGCAACAAGGACGGCAACAAGGACGGCAACAAGGACGGCAACAAGGACAACACCGCCAACACCAAACTCTGAAACACCAAACTCTGAAACACCAAACTCTGAAACACCAAACTCTGAAACACCAAACTCTAAACACCAAACTCTAAACACCAAACTCTAAACACCAAACTCTAAACACCAAACTCTAAACACCAAACTCTAAACACCAAACTCTAAACAACACTCCCTCCCTCTCCTCCAAACTCCCTCCCTCTCCTCCAAACTCCCTCCCTCTCCTCCAAACTCCCTCCCTCTCCTCCAAACTCCCTCCCTCTCCTCCAAACTCCCTCCCTCTCCTCCAAACTCCCTCCCTCTCCTCCAAACTCCCTCCCTCTCCTCCAAACTCCCTCCCTCCACTCCAAATTCCCTCTCCTCCAAACTCCCTCCCTCCACTCCAAATTCCCTCTCCTCCAAACTCCCTCCCTCCACTCCAAATTCCCTCTCCTCCAAACTCCCTCCCTCCACTCCAAATTCCCTCTCCTCCAAACTCCCTCCCTCCACTCCAAATTCCCTCTCCTCCAAACTCCCTCCCTCCACTCCAAATTCCCTCTCCTCCAAACTCCCTCCCTCCACTCCAAATTCCCTCTCCTCCAAACTCCCTCCCTCCACTCCAAATTCCCTCTCCTCCAAACTCCCTCCCTCCACTCCCCCCCCAATCCCTTGCCCGTTGTTGTCGTGGGGGGGCTTAGGAGGCGGAGACTGGGACCCAATGATGGGAACTCCCCAACCTTGGGACTCAGCCCTCGACTCAACTAATTATGCATGGCCTTTTTCCCTTCCCACTTTTGTTTCTATCCCTTCACCAAACCCTTCTGCTATCCACCTCCTAAGGTGTGAGAGCCGTGCTGAAAGGATGAAAGGCTGACTTAGTGCCAGTCCTGAACGGCCTGAGGGAACCATGGGCACGGTATTCCCCTGATTTAGTTCTAGCCCTTACCCCTCAAGGGGACCCTGAGGGGTGGACTGTTTTTATCCCCAACATCATCCAGGCTTACCATGGCCAATAATGAAAATCTATCTCCACTATTAGGGGCAATGAGGCTTGCCCCTTTATCAAATAGCCCCAACGAAGAAAACCCACCCGATTCCCAGACCCCAGGCTCTCCTTTGACCACGGCTCCGAACACTGTAATAAATACCCCTTCATCAATGCCTAATAGTACAATAGCCAACAACCAACCCTCAAGGAACATTTCCACTCTCCCAACAAGCTCAACTTCAACACCTCTTCCCCCACAACCTCCAACATCAACCACTCCATCCTCCCTTATTACCTTACAGCCTTATTGCCCACCTCTCCGTAACACTACCTCCATCAACACTACTCCATCTTCGTCACGCCCCCGCCCCTCTACCACCCCTACAACAATCTTGAACACTCTCTTTAGTGCAGCCAAATGGGACCGATTTTTCGTGATCCCTCCCACAGCTCCCTACTCTGACAACACCCTTCTCTTCCAACAATGTCTACAAAAACAAGTAGGTAAAGTTTCTTTCCGTAGCCGACCCGACCCGTCTTGTCACAGTAACATCAGAAAATCAAGCTATAGCATTAGCAAAACTAACTGACCTATATGGTAACCCCATCCAACCCTCAATACTTGCACTGGAACCGTATCTATCTCCCCAGAAAACTGCCCAATCTATGACAAAGATTGGTCAGATTGTGGAGAAGACTTACTCGCCTGTCTCACAGACTACGATGCGACATCAGTACAATGTTACTCCATCCCTCCCAGAGGTCATCGTAAGAAACCCACTAACATCGCCAAAATTACCTTCCGTAGACATGACCTTCCCTTTAACGTCTACATAGGAGGAGAATCCCTCCCTGTCCGCCCATACCAACCTCCCCCACGTCAGTGCCAAAATTGCTGGCGTCTAGGACACCCAGCCAAACATTGCCGTTCCACAGCCAGATGTCCACTATGTGCCCAAACTGGCCATATCCGATCTAACTGCCCTGCAAACTCACGCACATGTGCCAACTGTGGCGGCCCCCATAATGTATTTTATAGGGGCTGTCCCACCTACAAATTTGAATCTGAGGTAGCAACTCTCAGATTCAGACTTGGACTCACACTGCGTGAAGCCAGACAGGAAGCACGACGACGTGGTTTCTCTTTTACTCCTTACTCCATTAATACAGCCCATTCTACCACTTCTACCACTTCTCCTAAACCCACCGCTCCTACATCTAACCCCCCCACTTCTACATCCTACCTTCCCCAATCAAACTCTTTTGCCATCCTAAACCCAGACACTCCCATCTCCACTACAGATACTCCAATCACCACTACAACCTTAACACCTTCCCCCGTCCCTCCTCGCACTACCCGAAACAGACAGAACAAACGTTCCACCCCCTCTTCCCCAACCACACAATCACCTCCACCAGAAACACCAGTCCTCTCCTCCCCCCCTCATAAGAAATCCTTTATCCCCCAAAACTCCCCAACCAACTCCACAGAAGAAACTATTGAAAACATTCAAGAATACATAATGAAAACTGACACTCAACCTACAACTTCTGATCCCTCCACACACCAAGTGACTGCCGATATCCATCCTCCACCTAACGATATCCCCCCTACACCCTATCCTCCTACCCCCTCCCAACACAGCCCATCCCCCCTGACTCCAACCCCACCCACATTAACCCTCCCACCATCCCCTCTATCCCTTCCACTCCCTCCTGGATACACACGTGAATCCCTTATGTCACAAGTATCCCCTTCCTCAGACCCTCCATCTCCTAATACCCATCCTGATAGTATGTCACAAATATCCCCTTCCTCAGACCCTCCATCTCCTAATACCCATCCTGATAGAACACCAACTCCCACACCTCTCCCATCTCAAACCTTTCAGTCCTTATCCCACCCTCTAGCTACTACCCCTTCAAATTCTCCAACACGTACTACAATCTATATCACTAAATCAACGAAAGTATAACTATCCTTCATTGGAATATTCGCGGTTTCCGCTCCCACAGACCTGACCTTCGTCATATCCTTTCCTCTTATAACCCATCTATTGTATGTCTCCAAGAAACCTTTCTCACACATCCTCCAATACCAATCCCCAATTACCATTTTGTCTCTTCCCCACATTCCCTTTATGTCTCGTCCATACTCATCAATCAGAAAACACCTTATGTCACACCTACCTTTCAAACCAATGTCCCTTGTACAGTTATTCGTATCTTCCTTCATCGTTGGATCACAGTGATTTCAGTCTACTTCTCCCCTTCCCACCCCATTGACTTTGTTGCTTTTGAAAATCTAATTTCCCAACTTCAACCACCTTTCCTCATAGTTGGTGACTTTAACTGCCGCCACACTCTTTGGGGTGATTCTATCACCAACTCCCGAGGCCGATCTCTAGAGCGCTTTCTCTCCACAGCTGACCTTACAATTCTAAATTCAGATCGCCCCACACACTTTGATACACGCACACAATCTTTTTCATGCATTGACCTCTCCCTATGCTCCCCTTCCCTTCATTTAGATTTCCACTGGTCAGTATTAGACCACTTTCCCTATAGTGACCACTTTCCAGTTCTCCTTTCTCCTACTTCATACGTACCACTTCCTAACTCCCCACGTTGGTGCTTTGATAGAGCCGACTGGCATACTTTCACTTCACTCTCTGCTATTCATAACCCTCCTTCCTCCCTCACCTCCATTTCAGAAATGATACAGTGTTTCACAACTACAGTCTTAAGAGCTGCACATACAGCTATCCCTCGAACCTCAAGACCATATACCTCTAAATGTGTTCCATGGTGGAATTCTGATTGCACTAAAGCACTTCGCTTAAAACGTGCAGCCTGGAACAGTTATCGCTACAAAAGAGGTACTCCAAATCAACTATCAGCCCTTATCTCCTTTAAAAGAGCATCTGCCTGTCTTCGGCGTACAATTCGGAATAGTAAAACAAATAGCTGGCGAAATTATGTTTCATCAATTACATCCTCTACATCTATCTCAAATGTTTGGCGCCGAATCCATAAACTATCAGGCAAACATCCCCCCCATCCTACCCCCGTCCTCCATATTCAAAATACCCTCATTTCTGAACCTCTCCAAGTCGCTAATGAACTGGGTGATTATTTCAGCCAGGTCAGTAGTGGTTCTCACCTCTCTCCACACTTCTCTTCTATCAAAACCACCAGAGAAAGTACCCCCATTACCTTCACCCCATCCTCCGCTGAGTCCTATAATGCTCCATTTTCTTCCTCTGAACTCATTGCTGCCCTACAATCGTGCCGCAACACTCATGAAGGCCCTGATGGTATTCACTACCGTATGCTTCGGCAACTCCCATCTTCCTCCTTATCCTTCCTATTAAAAATTTACAACCACATATGGACATCAGGAAATTTTCCTTCTAATTGGCGAGAAGCTCTTATCCTTCCCTTCCTGAAACCCAATAAATCGGGTACCCTCCCTCAAGACTATCGCCCCATCGCACTAACTAGCTGCTTATGCAAACTATTAGAGCGAATGGTGAACTTCCGCTTAATGTGGTATCTTGAATATCACAATCTCCTCTCTCCTTCCCAATTCGGTTTTCGCCGTGCCAGAAGCACAGCTGACCCCCTTGCTCATTTTGAGACATATATTACATCTGCATTTGCACGCCATGAATCTGTACTAGCTATATTCTTTGATCTAGAAAAGGCATATGATACGACATGGCGGTACCATATTCTCCAACAATTGACGTCTCTAGGCATACGTGGAAACATGGGTGTCTTCATAAAGTCTTTCCTCTCCCAACGCACTTTTCAGGTCAAAATTGCTACTGCCACATCATCTTTCTTTCCTCAAATCGAAGGGGTCCCACAAGGCAGTGTACTCAGTACCACTTTATTCCTTCTTGCTGTTAATGATATTGTCTCAGTTTTACCACCAGGAGCCCGATCATCACTATATGTTGATGATTTAACCATCTATGCCTCTGGCACATCCATACCAAATCTCTACCAATTTCTTCAATCTGCAATCTCATCAGTATCTTCCTGGGCCACAAACCATGGCTTCCGCTTTTCTACCTCTAAATCTTTCTCCATCCTTTTTTCTCGCTCACGTATAGGTCCCCTACCCCCACTCTTATTATATGGCACTCCACTCCAAAGCCGTTCCTCTGGCAAATTCCTAGGCGTCATTTTTGACTCCAAACTGACCTGGCGAGACCATATTCTACACATTAAAGAGAAAGCTCTCCGCCGCCTTCGAATTTTAAAAACTCTATCCCATATATCATGGGGCTCAGATCGCAAAACTCTTCTTCATCTTCATGTTACTTTGATCCTCTCCACTCTTGATTATGGATGCCATATCTACTCCTCTGCCTCAACTTCTCTCCTTGCCCATCTCGACACAATCCACCACTGTGGTCTTCGCTTAGCACTAGGCGCCTTCCGCTCCTCTCCAGTTGAGAGCCTATATACTGAATCAGGCATACCATCTCTATCTCGACGTCGTGCCCTTCTCTCTCTCCGATGTTATGTTCGATTCCACCAACTTTCCCTCGCTAAACTAACTATCCCACAATCCCTACTTCCTACTTTAGCTTCATCTCCACGATTACCTACTCCTTTCTCTACTCGCATGGATACCCTCCTCTCCCATTCCCCTTTCCCCCAACTCCAACCTCTCCCGTTCTCTGTACATTCCGTCCCTCCATGGCTTATACCTCAACCCCATATTTGCTCTTCTGTTTTCCCCGACCCACCAAAATCAAATATTCCTCCTACTGTCCTTCTCATCCATTTCCTTGACCATGTCTCCACTCATTCCTCTAGTATACACGTATATACTGATGGCTCTAAATCCACCTCTGGTGCTGGTTTTGCAGTAATATTCCCAACTCGTACTTTCAAATACTCCCTTCCTCCTGAATCCAGTGTCCTTACTACAGAACTGTATGCACTCCTTTTTGCCCTAAAACACATATACTCACTCTCCTCTTCCTCTTTTACAATTTTTACTGACTCCCGTAGCTCATTAACTCTCATAAAGTCAATACACACCTCTAACCCCCTTGTTTGTAAGATCCAGAACTGGTTGTTCTACCTGTCCACACGCCATAAAATAATCAAATTTTGCTGGGTGCCCAGCCATGTTGGAATCCCCGGCAATGAACAGGCAGATACACTAGCACGCCACGCTGCTATGTCCACATCATACCAACCACGCTTCTCACGTATACCAGCCACGGATTATTACCCACACTTTAAGACCTTCTTGTATAACCGATGGCAATCCTTTTGGTCAAGACTCCACACCAATAAATTACATTCTGTAAAACTATCAATCTCCTCCTGGTCAGCTCCATTTCATCGGAACAGACGTTGGGAGACCGCTTTCGCCCGTTTACGCATTGGACACACCCGTCTAACACACTCCTATCTGATGTCACAATCTGATCCACCCCTATGTTCCTTATGTAATGTTCCCCTTTCTATCCCACACATCCTATTATCGTGCCCACGTTTTGAAACAGCCCGTACCTCTGCTTTCCCCCACCTATCCTCCCTTCACCGACCTCCCAACCTATCAGACATCCTTACAGAATCCCACACTTTCTGCATCAATAACCTATTCTCTTTCCTCAAACACATACATATCCTTTACCTAATCTAACATCTAACCTTAACCCTTTCACTTACCAATTCCTTTGCCCAGCTTAGACAATTAGCCACTAACTCAACCACCCTTCACTAACATTAACTATAGTGCTACATGACCTTAGATGTCTAGCACATTTATCTTGCTTTTAACCATTAACCATTAACCATTAACCTCCCTCCACTCCAAATTCCCTCTCCTCCAAACTCCCTCCCTCCACTCCAAACTCCCTCCCTCCACTCCAAACTCCCTCCCTCCACTCCAAACTCCCTCCCTCCACTCCAAACTCCCTCCCTCCACTCCAAACTCCCTCCCTCCACTCCAAACTCCCTCCCTCCACTCCAAACTCCCTCCCTCCACTCCAAACTCCCTCCCTCCACTCCAAACTCCCTCCCTCCACTCCAAACTCCCTCCCTCCACTCCAAACTCCCTCCCTCCACTCCAAACTCCCTCCCTCCACTCCAAACTCCCTCCCTCCACTCCAAACTCCCTCCCTCCACTCCAAACTCCCTCCCTCCACTCCAAACTCCCTCCCTCCACTCCAAACTCCCTCCCTCCACTCCAAACTCCCTCCCTCCACTCCAAACTCCCTCCCTCCACTCCAAACTCCCTCCCTCCACTCCAAACTCCCTCCCTCTCCTCCAAACTCCCTCCCTCCACTCCAAACTCCCTCCCTCCACTCCAAACTCCCTCTCCTCCACTCCAAACTCCCTCTCCTCCAAACTCCCTCCCTCCACTCCAAACTCCCTCCCTCCACTCCAAACTCCCTCCCTCCACTCCAAACTCCCTCCACTCCAAACTCCCTCCCTCCACTCCAAACTCCCTCCCTCCACTCCAAACTCCCTCTCCTCCAAACTCCCTCCCTCCACTCCAAACTCCCTCCCCTCCAAACTCCCTCCCCTCCAAACTCCCTCCCTCCACTCCAAACTCCCTCCCTCCACTCCAAACTCCCTCTCCTCCAAACTCCCTCCACTCCAAACTCCCTCCCTCCACTCCAAACTCCCTCCCTCCACTCCAAACTCCCTCCCTCCACTCCAAACTCCCTCCCTCCACTCCAAACTCCCTCCCTCCACTCCAAACTCCCTCCCTCCACTCCAAACTCACTCCCTCCACTCCAAACTCCCTCTCCTCCAAACTCCCTCTCCCATCCACAGGTGAACGACATCGCACTGCTGACCCTCGAGGAGCCCCTGGAGTGGGCGTCGGGCGTGGGTCCCGTCTGCCTCCCTCCCGACGCGGACTTCGAGGATCGGGTGGCGGTCGTCACGGGCTGGGGCGCCACGGGGTCGAGTGAGTGTCTGTCTGTTTCGGTTTTGTTGAGGCGAGGTTGGTTGGTTGGTTTGGTTTGGTTTGTTTGTCTGATTAAGTTGTGGTTTGTGATTGGTTTGTCGGATCGTGGTGTATTTTGTGATTAGTCTTTGTTTTTGTTGCTTTTCTTATTTTCATTATTTTTGTTATTGTTCTTACTAGTTTTATTATCATAATTGTCCATAGCTTTATGTCGGTCATAATTAATATCATTATTCTCATTCTTATAATGATGTTAAAGGTAGTGATAATGATAGTGCTAATACTAGTACTTTTTACACCTATTTTTCAAAAGAATTTTTCCTTGTGTCCTCTGTTATTTTTCTCAATCAGTTTTATTCTCTTTTCCATAGACGGGCCATACGCCACGAAGCTCAACGAAGTAGCTGTTACTATCACGGACCAGGAAATGTGTGAAAAGGCTTATATCTCCTCAGACTTCCCTGTCACTGATAAACACGTAAGTTGCCATTATGAGTGTAAAAAAAAAACAAAAAAAAAACAAAAAAAAAAACGCTATATTGGAGCTCATTAGGTGTCCCTATTTTATATTTGGTTTACTTTTTTTTCATCGAAACCATATTCAGAGTTTCTGAAATGGTGATGGTGACTAGTAACAGTAATGGTAATGTTGGTAATAAAATGGATGATAATGGTATTAATAAATAGTGGCAATGATGAGGATGTGATAGTGATTATTACTATTACTACTACGACTATTATAGCAATAATTCTAACGAAATTCACAATTCCTGGTCTGTACTTCTGCTGTATTCCTCATATTAAAATTGGCTTTCCGTTGAAAAAGTGTGAATTTCTGTTACGCTTAAAAAAAGTTTAGAAGTAATGATAGTTTTTTTGGTTTTGTAGTTTTGAATATGGAAGGCCGAAGTGTATACAGGAAATTTTATGTTATGATCATCCACTTTACGTCGTTCACCAGTACCCCTTGTGTTGTCTGTCTGTCAAAGTATTCATCCGTGAAAGTGCTTGTTAGAAGACTTTCAAAATGACGGTAGGGTGTAAAGTTTTACCTTTCTGCCTTCGGTTGCTTGCATTTTGCATGTCATTTATTTGTTGTTAGAGTTCCATGGTGGAGGAAGGCACAAGATATTGAGAAATAAGTAAGCAAAATTAGGCATTAACCGTATAAAATAAAGTAAAATCAGGCATAATACATAACACAAAATAGAATAAAATAACACCACAAAATTTCCGCACTTGAGAGGCAAAAAGTAATCAGATATTGTATTCAGTGAGTTATTTATTCACTTTCTCTCGTAGCTGAGGAACTGATCGGCTTGCGATCGAAAAAATTGTGGACGACTATTTTAACTTTTGACTGTGTTATTTTAAACTCATGTTAAATACTATCTTAAATTTTGATGGCAATTTGATATTTGTTTTTACTCATTAAAACTCATTTCTTTACGTGATATATTTAGGGGCGCGGCAAGCTTGTGGGTTTTGTTACGGTTCGGCGCCACGAAATAGGTTAAGAACCATTGGTTTGTCATATATTTTTTCCTAAAATGGGGTTGTCCAATGCCTTCAAATCATTCGAAAATTATGATGACTATTTCCAAAATGTTATTAGCCTAAAGGTTATGACACAATCTAAATATACGGGCACAGCCTACCGTCATCCATTAAACATTAAGATATTTGAAAGCCGTTTACGAAAATCCACAGCGTTACTTAGCTCGTCGAAAGCTTTACTGCGAAAGTATCCCGCTTATGATGAACATTTCTTTCGTCTCTTATAAATATCGTTCGTATCATGCATGGCATGTCTTGAATCAGCATTGACTCCAGTACCGATTGTCACATTTCATGTCTTTGTCTTCTTTACGTGTTCTTCGATCATCACAGAAGGACCGTATCTGACTCTCTCTATCTGTGTATGTGTGTGTGTGTGTGTGAGAGTGAGAGAGAGAGAGAGAGAGAGAGAGAGAGAGAGAGAGAGAGAGAGAGAGAGAGAGAGAGAGAGAGAGAGAGAGAGAGAGAGAGAGAGAACAAAATGAAATAGTAAATCTTGGAATTCACACCCTGGAGGGAAATACACGTTAATCCTCCTCGTCCCTTAAATTGAGTTCGGTCATCATAAGGAAAGTCCTAAGCCCAGCATATGATAACATCTGCCTCGCATCCCTTATCCATTGATCTCAATTACACGGATCATTTCCAGCCCAACATTATGCTCTGATTCTGCATCTTTCTTCCATTATCAAGTAGGGGAATAGGTTGATATGATTTGGTACGTTAATTACTGGACCTTTTAGTCCATTGCCGCCGGGGAAAATGAACAAAAAATGGGGGAAATGCAGGACTCATTTTTTATATTTTTGTGAAATATGTGTGTCCATAGATGGCTCTGCTAGTCCTGATTTCACCTTCCCTTGAATTGGCGGGAAAAAACGTATTCTAACTAGTGCTATAAATATAGATGGTGTTATGTTTAACAGCAAATTAGGATAACGTTAAATATTTTCGTAAATCGATGAAAAGGGTGAACGGGCGAGACAAGCAGTACTCGTAATTGGCTCATTGGATACTTAGTACAAGTGTAGCCATATATGTGTAAAAACAATCGAACAACTCACAGTGGGCATGGCATGTACGTACATGCCATCCCCGGCGGCAATGGCTTAATTTCCTTCACCTTGTGTGATTATCATAAGTTGCCATCCTTCTTCTCATAAGTTGCCATTTTTTTCTCCCTAGATCTGTGCCGCTGATCCTGGGAAAGACGCATGCCATGGTGACTCAGGGGGTCCGCTTGTCATCAAAGAAAACGGGAGATGGGTTTTGGTATTTTTTTGTTTTCATTTTAGATAAACGTTTAAAACGCGATTTGATAATTTAACTGATATATTGGAACAGTTAATACTATTACGCGTTTTGCTGCTATTATAATGATCTTAACAATGAGACGAGTTGTAATAATGATAGAATTTTTTTTTTCTGACAACTACAGTCAGATTTAGAAATAACAGTGCGTAGGTGACGATAGTGGTAGAATGAAAAGAAATGAATGTATGTAATATTGAGCACTCTTTTGCAGATCGGCATTGTGAGCTTCGGCAGGGGGTGTGCCTTGCAAGGATTCCCAGGCGTGTACACCCGCGTTTCCTCCTACAACACTTGGCTCCTTAGAAATATGACTTTTGGATCGTGTTGACAGTCCTTCATAGCAAGGGTGTGTCAGGTCCAGTTTTTGAAATTAAAATGGCGAAAACTCTTCCATTGTCTTTTTTTCTGGAAACGTTAAGAACGAGACCTGCCAATGGAGTTTGATAAAACATTCTGACTATTCATACTTTTAAGAAAGACAAATTACAGAAAGCATGTATAATTGTATATTAAACCGTCATTTTAGCAATTAATGAAGTAACTGATAATTGGGATTCCATATTTTTGTTTTGATTATTAGCAGGGTATCGACAAATATCGAGGGACAAAGATCGACGTGGCGGTCCTTTCCCCCGCCCCTATTTATGGAGGGAAATAGGCCCAGCAGAACATAATCTCTCCATAGCTCGGGGCAGAATCACACTCCATATCTCGACAGCCCTTTCGAGTGGGAAAGAATTTGAGACACTCTCCTTACGTTAACCGATTATTCAGTAATCGCATTAGCCATGATGAAGAAACGAGGAGAAAAATCCTTGTAAGATTATTTTTCTTTCACGTCTAAAGAGTCTGTAGGTTATTGCTTACCCTTTATAGATCATATATACTTGACTTGGCTACTCATAGATCATGCTTTGCTTTAGAGCTCATACCCCCCCACCCCCAATTCTTTGTTGTTGCCATGGGGGGGAAGGGGGGCTTTGGAGACAGAGACTGAGGCCCAATGCCCTTGCATTAGACCTCAGCCTTCGACTCAACCAATTTTGTACAGTCTTCTCTCTATCCCTTTACTTTTCCTTCTCTTCTCCAACTTCTCTCCCCCCCCCCTATCCCTTCCCCGTTGTTGTCGTAGGGGGGGGGGGGCTTAGGAGGCCAAGACTGGGGCCAAATATAGGGGATCACCCCTACCATAGTCCTCAGAACTCGCCTCAACTAATTTTGCGTGTTTTTTTCTTCTCCCCCTTTCCTTTTCCTTCTCTTCTTCATCCCCTTCTGTCCATTATTAATTCACAATCCTTTATCATAGTATTATATGACCTTTGATATCTGGCATATTTATTTATTTTAACCATTAACCATTAACCACACTCCAATTTCAACTATCCACTTTCTAAGGTGTGACAGTTGTGTTGAGACGGGAAAGCCCGGCTTTGTGCCAGTCATGAACGGCCTGGGGGAGCCATGGGCACGGAATTCCCCTGTTTAGTTGTCTGGCCCTTACATCTCAAGGGGACCCCGAGGGGTGGACCATTTCTCTCCCCAACATACTCCATGATTACCATGGCCAGGAAACCTTCCTCCTCTCCCAACGTCTACTTCAGCTACTCCTCCCTCCTCCCATATTAATAATCTGCAGCCTTATTATTCGTCTCTCCACAGTACCACTTCACTCAGCACCACTCCCTCTTCCTTCTACTACCCCCACCTATACAGATCTTTTATGTACTCTGTTTAGCTCAGCCAAGTGGGATCGGTTTTTTGTAATCCACTCTCCTCTTCCAACAATGCCTACCAAAACAGTAGGCAAAGTTTCCGTAGCTGTTCATGCCTTTTTACAAATACATCCGAATCACAAGGTAATACATTATCAACCCTGACTGACTTCCGAATCCGAAGAAAATATTTGTTTCTCAGACCTCTCCAACCAAATCCACTTCAGAACTCTCGAAGACATTCAGTACGATCTAATCATTAACATGCTTACACCTCATCCATCTCCCAATCTCTCTGTGCTCCTATTCCCACTACACTCAAAGTAACTGTGGACATCCATCCTCCTATTCATATACTCCCACTCCCACACATTTCCTTCCCCCCCTGCTTCATTTGCATCATTCCCCCTTCCTCCCCCCCCCCCCCTGCTTCATTTGCATCATTCCCCCTTCCTCCCCCCCCCCCCCTGCTTCATTTGCATCATTCCCCCTTCCTTCCCCATTATCCAGTTCACATCCCCCTGGATATATATATCCTTGTCACAGCAACACCCTTCCCTGGATTCTCTCCCTTATGGCATTTCTCCAAAAACGGTTATCTAATCGCTCTTAAACCCCCCCCTTTTTCCTTTCACTAATCCCAACTTTAGCCTACTGACATCCTTGCAGAAGCTCACACTTCTCCCTTTGACGACTTTGATCTCGTCACCCTAGTTAATCCCTACCCTGGATAATTTACTCACCCTATCTACCCCCCCCCCCCTTTTTTTGTTCCTTTCAGTGCCCTACTATTCTGAACTGCCATACGACATTTGATGTCCTCAACTCACCCCCCCCCCTTTCCCTTTTCACTACTACACCTCTCTGTTGTGCTATGTGATCTTTGATGTCTAGCATATTTATTTTGCCTTGTAACCATTAACCATTAGCATTATCCAGCTGGACTTGATCTTTGTTTTATCATTTGCTGTTGTCACGTTAAAGGCAGTCATGGTTGGTTATGTGTCATTCATAAAAAAAATGGAAATATTTTTCGAGCTTCACACGTGTTATGACCGACAGGTGTCTGCGTGTCTATTGTCTGGCGCGACCAATCATCTTTTAGTTGAAAAACAATGGAACTAAATAGACCGACTTCGTTTTGTTGGTCAAAATAAAACTAATGCATGGCGTGGTATTCACAGTACATTGATTACTACTTAGCTTGGCATCGTCGCACCCTGCTTCAAAACAGCCCAGTACTATAGATAGGAGATAGCAGTGAAAACAGAAATAATGCTGTGAACAACTAAAGCCCCCATTCACGCTACGTAAAATAGCTACGGTTCAAGTATGGTTCAGTAAAACTGTGCAGTTAATGTAGCGTGAGTGGGGCTTTTTTTTGGTTTGCGCAGTTGGACGGAACCATAACATAATATCCAACGTGTTTGATATTTTCGCGGCTTGTGGCTGTACCATAACGCAGACCATAACCGTGTGTGGGCGTTTTCACCCAATTTGCTCAGTTTTGACTAAAGGAAATCGTGAGCACGTGTTTAGCTGAAAAATATATTTGCTAATTTCGTTTATCTTTTTTTATTTTCAGGTGCATTTTCCCCAACATGGAAAATAAATTTAGCAGAGAATTCTTAAGTGAAGTAATAGAACTGTATAGAAGTTCCCCGTGTTTGTGGAAAATAAAAAGCAAAGAATATTCAAATAGAAATTTTAAAAAATGAGGCTTACGAGAAAATACCGAATGCAGATAGAGATATGATAGTGAAAAAGATAAATGCTATCTCAGGTATGATGACTCCTAAAGCTTGGGGAGAGACCAAAGTGGAAAACTTTAAGTCTTCATATGATCTCCCAGTTGCTAAAAAACGAAGGGTCGCTATAAGCCTCTCATGGGGTGAAATTGCTTTCCGCATGACGGTATCTTTTCTTTTAATTAATGGAGTCAATAGTGATAACAATTCTGAGTAAGTTTGCTCATCCATTCTCAAGTAATTGAAATAATCAACAGGTTCCAAACGAAGTTCATTTAACAATCCTTCATGCGATAAGCTATCCCTCTTCAAAAGCCATGGCTTGCACCATCTTGACTTTTTTTCCTTTTTTCTTTGTAATGTAAGTGCCAGCGCTACATGTACTAAATCGTCCGATGAAAAACAATCAGAGAGAGACATCTTTCCGATTCAAAACGTTGTGAAAACTGAGCAAAAGAATGTAACGTGAGTGGCCTACCCACTCGGGCATAGGTTTGTGCAGTTGACCATACCATAACCCTACCATTGCTAAAGACTGTAGCGTGAATGGGGGGCTTTAGATCCACCAGGAAATAGTATTTAAGTTAGGTTTGTAGGGTTAAGGATATGGAATCAAAGAGAATGAGAAAGATTTAGTAGTAAAACACAGAAGCCCTCAGGAGTGGCAGGAATATTTAAAAGCATATTTATATCACCATCAATTATTTAAACATTTTATTTGATTGTTCAAGTAATTCTGGCTTGTTCAAGTATTTCTGAATAATTTTACAAACATATCTTTTACGTTTTTAGAAAGTTCGAGAAAGGTTATACTGAAAACTTAGCATCTTTATTGTGGTTATATATTTTCACGGTCAATATCTATTAACAGTCAATAATTGTATGAAGTACATGTGTCTGTATGAAATTTCCAAATGTTTTTATTGGTCATTGTAACAGCCTTAGAACATGTTCATTTTACAGGAAATATAAATTGAGATTTTAGATTAAAACATTATATTTCAGTTCTTTGCTTACACTGTAGTAAGAGAGAAGCACCAGTTACTTAGTGGAAAGCACCTTTTGCTTAGTATTACAGGACTAGAAAAGACAAGAGAAGACTTGATAAATATGTTTAACATTCTTATTGAAACCATTACTTGATATGCTGTAACTTGATGAGTATTAGGAAGTAAATGTAATATATTCACATATGCTCGATATATCTGTGGCCTTAACTTTATGGGTCATCCCTTATATAGCGCCATGTACATTTGTGTTTTGTTCCACTGTACACCTGTATCGCCAAAAACACATGGTGACACTGTAGATAATCGTGATATGTGCTTATTTTCCTCAGTAATGACCTTGAGCCCACTGACGTAACGTTGTGGTAGATTGCTCTTTGTTCATACCATTCTTAAGTCTGGTTTTCCGCGCAGCTGGCAGACAGACAAACACAAAGATAAACTCAGTTGCCATGCTGAAAGAGTGTGTGAATGTGTACGTGCGCGTGTGCGTTTTGATGTACGTATGCGCGCGCACACGCAAATGTGACGCACGGCTGTTGCGCCCTTCAGAATCACACGTAATAACTTCCCTACAGTATCAGTAGTTTTATGTTATGAACAAATGCAGATATTTCATGACCGCATCTTGCAATGGAATGAAAAAGGTTTTTCCTTGCAAGGGAAATATTGGATGTATTATGTAATTTTTTGTTGTTGACCAATTGCTCAACATACCGTAGAGAGTATTTGTATCTTTACCGAATGCATTTCCAAGAATACAAATTGAAAGTCAGTGGGTTCCCAACCTTTGCAATCTGGCGACATATTGGGAAGGCATTCGGCACAAAAGAAACTTTATCTACGTCCTCTAAACGATGGATATAATCTAATTGAACATTATGCTTTAGTAGCTTGTTATAAGGAAG